CACCGGTCTCTCCTCTCAATTGCTACCAGACACACTGGTAGAATATGCGATCAATTTATGAATCTCCCAGGTCTGGCAGTACAGGAAGGATGCAGAAACGATGAAATAGAAAAGGATTTGTGGGAGACGCAAGCCTTAACTGTTATGTTGGGCAAATGACGACGTGCGCCGACCCTCGACCTTTACTCATGCATTTCTCACCATACACATGCAATGCAGAGAAAGTCCTTGTCTCAGACCACACCTCGTTTCGAAAGGTGTCGACCGATGCATACTGTCATACTATGACCCCAATGATGATATCTTGAAAGTACCCTGCATGCCTTCAAGCGTATTTAACCATTTTATTGTTTCACGGCTTCTTTTTCACAAACATACCTGAACCCATCCATCCTTCATTGCACTCCTCACCCTTCTCCCCTTCGCGGTTTTTTCTTCCAATTTTTTAATTTAAGCATTGAAAGTTTTCCCAACCGCCTTAACTTTTGTCAGAGTAACTTTTTTTTTCGACAAGGCCGTTCCTACACAACTTAATTATTTCGCCCGTTCACTCGAGTATACAGAACCATCCTAGATACAGGGTGCTCGTAACGAAACGTAATGGGACGCACGGAACCTGACGAATGCCGCGAGTTTCAATGGCTTAAGGTCAGCACACCGCGAAGTTAAAAGGTCAGAACTGAGTCTTGTGATTAGTTGCCCTGAGGTACTACAGAGTGTTTAGAAAATCACTGTAATGTAATTTTTGCACTAGATCAATAGTTTTTGTGCCAAAGGAAGTAAATTTCAATAAGATTTTATGATTTCATCGAATTTTTTGCTTATGGTAACCCTCTATAGCGCCCAAAATCGAATCCTTCCGCCCTCTTAACCAGGACGTTCCTCACCTCGCATTTCTTGTTTCAGTCATCATCGAGTAAAATCCTGCATGTGAAACCGAAGACGATGGAGCTTCTGTTTTTCATACCTCTCTTCGAAAGAATTCCAATGGAATCGAAATGGGGCAACCTTCCGAAAAGCATGATGCCACCACGAACCAGAACGGGCAGTGGCAAAACGAGAACGCGACGGAGGAAGCGAAAGTGGATCTCGTTCGGAATTGTTCTTGAATCGGATGAACCGATCTTGAACTTGAGATCTCTGCTCGTTTAGGCTAGCGTTGAAAATCTCAATCGCAGCCACGTGTTTCACCTTATCACTTCTTCCCGCTCAATATGCATTACTTAATTGAAACATGTGATCGACAGCTTATTTCCATGGACTTCGGAAAAATGTCAAGCTACTTCACGACTTGGAAGTTGTGCAATGGATACGTCTCTAACGCTCGGAGACAATTGGAAAAGAGAGAGGAAAAGAAACCACGTCCATTCGAATGCTAAACAATGCGAACTCCATAAGCAAGTAGAAGCCATATCGATTTGCGTCGTTTCCGATTTACCACTATGATTTACCAATTTAGGCAGCAGAGAAGGCATGCGACGACCTTTCACGAAGGGACGAAAGGAAAACTGGTTTGCGAAAACACCTTTTCCTCGAGATTCGTAAAGGGAACGGCGCCCTGTGCACGCGAACCCGTTTTCCTCTCCATCGCCACAATCGACAAATGGGTTAACCCGCAATCACTACATGGACCAGTTTTCTGGAGATTTTAAAAATTATCGATAGAAAAACTGGTCTTTCAGTTTTCGTCACTCTCGTACGGTGAAAATGAATGGGGTGATAAAAAAAAAAAACATCCAAGCCGTCAGCAATCCTCTGACATGGAAGAATTAGGAGGAAACCGTGCAAAACACTCGGGAAGAGAAACCGAGAAGCAGCAGCTTAGGACTTTGGTCGAATTACATTTTGCTTCTGCCGGATGTTCGTCTGGAAAACTAGTCCCGTGCACGATTCTTTGCGCCTTTGCGACTTTAAATGCGAAAGGTAGAACCCGATTGTGCACGCCGAGGTTTTCAGCCTCGTGAGATGCGTCGCCCGCATGCGAACGACTGTTATCCTGGGTTCTCAATTTCAGAACGAGAAATTGCGAGGACGTGAAAGAGACAAGCAAAAAAAAAAAAAAGAAACAGTTGGACGGTCTTCCTCCCGGGCACAAAATGCAACACGGAACAATCGGAATCGTGACACGAGAACGTTGGAAATGCTCATTTTTTTCCACTACGAGATGCCCTCACTCGCGTGACTTGCCCGAAGTATCGATCACGTCTGGAAAGAATGCAGCCGTTTCAGTTTCCTTGTTTTCAAACTCAAACTAAGTATTATCGACCCTCGACATACCGCCACTCTCGCAAACCGCCATCCGCAAACACCTTAACTTGCACAAACGTGTCTTATTCTTTATTCTACGTAAGTCTTACTCGATGTTGCGCCAAGCAACATGCTGTGCCAAGCAGCATGCTGTGCCAAGCAGCATGCTGTGCCAACCACAACCATCTAAATTTAATGCTGCCAGCTGCTCTTTCCGGTCGCATGTGAGGCGCGATGACTGCGTTAGAATAGACCAGGCATTAGAGGGAGACGTATAGGGTCGCCTAATCTTGTCTCTTCCTTTCTGAGAATGGAAACGTCGCATGCAGATGATACGACATTTCAAGTTTGTTCAATATCCATTGATGGGGAAGTAACGGTTTCAAGTGTGAGGGAAGAATTGGAAGCGTGTCGTTAGAAAAAGGCGCATGTGGTCGAAAGTGAAAAAAAGTTGCAAATAATTTTTCGAGTGGGTTTGGGACGATCAAGTGAGCAGACGGTGCATAGGAGCTACTCTCATTGAATTGAAAATAGTTAATAATTGGATGTCATCATGGATGGAATCATTTTTCTAAGCCGCGTAGCTTTTGTGTTCTGAGGCGCGGACCATTGACAGGGTAGATGAATTAAAGAGATTTTTTTTCCATTTTGCAGTCATGCATTTCGGTTTAGCGCCAAAATCGACGAAGACCAACAGTTGACTGTTCTGCAATTCTTAGTACGTCGTCATGCTTCGCTTGTCGAGGCGACGGAGCCTCGTGGTCGTCTGCCACCACAGTGTCGTGTCTGTGGTTCCTTTCCACAGCATGAATTCCCTTTCATTTTTAACCTGAGCGAAGTGTGCGCAAACGGGGTGAGGATATGATGAAGATAAGGAATTCACTACTATCTGTTTCAGCCAACAAGGAGAATCGAGAAAGGGAGTTTCACATCCGGATGCGAAAATGAGTCCCGTCCCACCTTTCGAGTTTTACAAGTGCTTTTTTTTTAGGTCTCGTAAAGCACGATTACCGATACAGGTTGGACGACTCATCTCCATCCACCGTTACGGAAAGTCCAGCTCCCAAGACGATGCATGGCATGAAACGAAGGCCGCTGAATCTTCGGGGGAAAAAAAAAATAAACTAAAGTTTCTCAGCGCATCAAGAGATGCTGGCTTGAAGTTAGTTCCACGTTTTTCAAAAGTCCTGGTGAATGCACGCTCATGTCGGCATTGTATTCCATCGCGATGCACATTCGATGCCCGAATGCATTCTGCTGTGGGGTAACCGGTTCCGTGCAGGACTCTAATTCCTGCCAGGTTCGCGCCTTTTATTGAAACGTTCCCTTCCCAGAACTTTTCCCTCCAATCCCACGACACATGCGAACTTCTTTTTTTTTTCACTCGGAGTACCTCTATCAAGATATTCCTGCGAAAATTTGAATAATTTGGTTGAATCCCGCATTACGAGATTCTTTGACGGTCACGCCCGCATCCGCAGCATCGATCGCGGAGCCGCGGGAGTCCCAGGGACGAGTTCAATGGTCGCATTTCTCAGTCAGGGTTCAAGAACGTACATGCCATCATCTTTCGTTATGGATCCATAAGGCTACGTAAGAGAGTGTGAACACGTTTGCATAACTGCGTAAGGGGGCTTCGACATGCCCCTGCCCCCAATTTTAAATTCGTGTTTCATCGATGAGCATCATAGAAAAGAACATCATTGAAAATATTTATATGTGATTCTCAGACCTCAAAAGGATTTGATTAACAATGGGATGAACGTAGGGAAAACGAAAGTCCACGATATGAGAGTAAAACAGTTAAAAATGGATCTTTTCTTTCCCTCCCTGTTCACGTCATTTTCTATTCCACAAATGGAAAATAAATTCCGAGTATGCAGGTATTTTAGAGAATATAGTTTTGGAAATAAATCCAAGATAGAAGCCGTTGATGCTGTAGAGAAGAGAGCGATCCTCGAGTTCCTCAAAGCTCCTATCGCTTCCTAGCATGAATGCGTGCATTAGTAATGCGCTAAAAAAAATGGAAGAAATATCCTGCATTGAGTAATTATTTTTTTTTTTTAAGGAGCTAAAGGTATGGTGGGCCCCGCTGCCCTGGCCGTCACATGAAGTAATGAGGAAAGGACCAGATTCGATCGGGATGGGATGTCCATTTCACTTCAAAACGACTAATTCCGCACGAAGACCGATCGGTAACGCTTAGTAATGAGGTTCGATTGTGCCCTGGTTTAGGATCCAAGAGAGACCGGCTCGACGCGATCGCCGATATAGAACGGTTCTAATAACTAGAGGGAACGGGGAAAGAAAGAACGGAACTGGAAATATCGAGAAAATCCAGACGCGTCAGAAAGTGAAATGGAACAATGGCTAGATCTATCTATCGATAGAACCCCTTCAACCCAACACGTCGATCCCAGGTTCCTCTTGGGATTATTGGAACCTATGAAAAGTAAAAAATAAGGATTGAAACGCCCCAGGGAGCATTCGAACTCTTCTCGTAAGTTTCCATCAGAATTTATCGAACAATACGTCACGAGTCAGACTCGAAGAGTGAGTGGAGCAAAAATATAATATATTAGTCGAGAGGTTGGAATTTGCAGAGATCACAGTGGCGAGGAACTTCCCTCTTGTCTCCATTTTCTTTGGATTCCCCCCTTTCCACCACTCACATCTGTGGGTTTGAAAGAGCGCGAAGTGAGCAACACCGAATGGCAGTAACGTTTCATCTTTTTCATTAGGAAATAACTTACCGATTCGTGAGTCGAGGATGGGAGAAAAGGGAAGTGAGGAGCGTATCTCTTCGCATGAGAGGAGAGGGGCAGGCCCTCCGAGGCCTCTCTGCCTTGGGCCGCGTGGTCCGTGGAGATGGGGACCCAGCCGCCGGTTTCCATCTGGGGCACGGTGGCGAGGGAGACTCGGCCGGGTTCGACCCTGTCGACCGGACTCGAAATCGGGGACGGGCGGGTCGGTTGGTATCCGCTTCCGTCGTCGAGGTCGAACTTGGTCGAGAGATGGATCAGCATGTCGCCAGGTCCCACCGGCCCGTAATAATGCTGCGGAACGGGGGAGATCTCGTTTCCCTGATACGCGGGAGCCGCGATCAATTGCGGCGACTTTCCGCCCGACTGGTAACTGGGGATGGAAGGGACGTATTCCGCCACGTAACCCGTCGGATACGTTTTCCGATACGACTCGGAGTCGTCGTAGGAAGTCCCGTCGTCGTATTGTTGACCGTAGCCGTCGTATTGTTGACCGTAGCCGTCGTATTGTTGACCGTAACCCTCGTGACCTTCCGTGGCGTATTGGTAGGCCGGGGACTGAGAACTCAAAGACGAAATTCCGTTGTGATTCTCGTAGGACGAAACATCTCCGTAGTCGTGAGGTGCAGACGCATCCTGGTCTTCGTACCGTCCCGGCTCGTCCGATTCCCCATCGTCGTATCCATCGACCGGTCGATAGAACGGATGCGACTCGGACGTGAAACTCTGCGCGTAGGGATAGGTCCCCTGCGAGGCCTGGGAATACGGATGATCGTCGGGACCCTGAGCGCCATAGGTGCCGCTGTCGGACGAGACGGATGCCACGTGCCCGTACGAGTCCCCGTGACCCCCGAAACTACTATAGAGCTTGGCCTCTCGGTCCGACGACTTCTTCGAGCGTCTCCAGACCCAGCGGTCCGAGTCTCGAGCGATCGACAGGTGCTGCACGTCGTTCCGATACAGAGTGTTCCGTCGATAAGCTGCCAGTTTCCCGTAATCGACGGTCCCGTCGGGATACGCCTGATTCACGGGTCGTCCGTCGTAGGAAGGCCGAAGGAGTTGAAGCCGGAGGTCGGCAGTGTTGCCCTCGTAGACGTCGTCGAACGTGAGGACCTCGGAATTCTCCCACGACCCCCCGTACGCGTTTGGATCCCCGAACGAAGACGGATGATACCCACCGGCGGTGCCGTAGTGACCATCGGCCTCACCGTAGTGACCGTCGATCTCGTCGTAGTGACCGTCGGCCTCGCCGTAGAGACCGTTGACCTCGCCGTAGTGACCGCTGACTTCACCGAGGTGACCGTTAGCCACACCGAGGTGACCCGCATCCGTATAATATTCCAGGGAACCGGGAAGTTCTGTGTAGGAAATGCTATCGTCCAAACTCGGCTCATAACGACGATGTATTCGTGGCTCGGGGCTCCATCTCCACGACGCCTCGGACGGGGCACCGAGGATTCCTCCCAGCAGGCAACTTAAAATCAGGAACGTCTGCGAGAGCCAGGATGTGACGTCAGCCGAGTGAACTCCGATCGTATCACGAAAGATAAAATAATGAATGAATAAACAATGAGAGATAAAATTCATCGAGTACGTTAACGAGAGCGCGAGAATGGGAATTCCCCGAGCGTAAACGCGAAGCGAAATGCGACCGTCCGGAACGGAACGGTAACGTTCTAGAGAAAGCGAAGGATGTCGGAATCGGACGGGGCATAACGGGGTCCGCTTCCGTTAGGGGCTTTTCCCTCGTCTCTTCCGAATTTGGGCAAAGTCGGGGTGAAAGTGGTCCCGGTCTGACCTCCATCCCACATCCACCCCGAAGGCTTTCCCTTTTTTTTTTTTTTTTTTTTCCTCGTAACGATTTTCTTTGTCTTTTCGCTCACGGTGATTTGGAGTCTCGTTCTCGTTTTAATTAAAGCGAACGGTCTGGGCAATGTGGCAATTGGGGTAAACGATGAGAATCGGAACCGAGTCTCCTTTCCGGGGATTCTATTCTTCGATTCAAAACCTCCCGTTACGAGTGCCCACTAAAATTTTTCACTCGAGTTAGGTAAAGTAAGTTAAATAAGAAAAATCGCTTATCACTTCTACATAGGAAGTTCCTCACGCACGAGGAACATCCCGAGTGAAAAATCGTCTGACTTGAGTGAAAAAAAAAAGTTTTTATTCCAAGACCGACGGTACAAAACTCGAAAAGGCGGAAAGGCCGTCGGGCCTTTTCCTCTTTTATATGCATTCCGAGAGAGGAAAGTTCAAGGCTACTTTCGAGTTATGGTCAAGGGTATTAGCCTTGATTTGTGGCGATAGAAGTCCTGCCGTAGGGGGAATGAAGAAAATCTCAACCACACGCGACCGAGTGCTTCACATTCTTATACGTACGATTTTCTAGAGTCGAGAAAATTCGAATGTAGTCTCGAATCTGGAGTCCAAATTCTAGACTACACTAGAATGTGAGAAATTTCTCACAAATTCCTTCGAACCAGAAGGAAGTCCACGAGACCAAAAATGCTCCATAACGAAAAAAGAAAACGAAGAAGAGCGTTTGGACTGACCTTTTTGAGGTCCATTGGAATCCCTCGTCGGCCCCCTCGGGACCGGACGGCCAAGCGACGTGACAAAGGGGAACGCAGGCGAAGCGAGCACGGCGTATCGGTAAATCAGGCCTCGCGGTGGATGCAAGGGAGGATCGTAGAGAAACCCGGATGAAAGTCCTTTCTCTTCGTGTACGGCGAGTGACCCGCGTGTCCGTGGGTCTGTGGGTCCGTCCGTCCGGGTGTTCCGAGGGCCGACCGGGCTCCGTCTCTCTTTCCGCACTTCCTCTGCGGAATTTCGTCACTACGAGTCCGTTCTGGATTATTTTTCCCCCGTTCGTTTCCGCCCGCCCGTCCGGGTTCTTCGATACATCCGACCGATAACGCAGGTCGGGTTTCTCGGCGATGGCGACATTTCTTTACATCTTCCGCGTCCGCACTCCGATTCGTCGGGACGGAGAGGAATGGCTTCGGTGGAACGCGGTCTCGAACGTCACGTGCCCATACCGGTAGCCGTCGGAAATCGCGCACGTGTGTTTGCCCTTTCCTGGAACCTGGAAAGAGGTGGAATCGACTTTCGGTGGCTTCATTCGGAACCGTGCACGTTCCACGGCCTTTACGCGTTTAGACGGTGGAGAAAAAGAGAGAAGGTTCACGTACATCGAGGAGTTTCTTCGACCTCGCTGCCGTCTGTCGCTCGGCGAGACATTTAATTCCAGAGTTCGACTGGAAACAACGATAAAGGGAAGAGGAAAGTGGCGGCAATCGCCCGGATCGTGGCCTCGGAAAAAAACGAGATCGGAAATGCGAACCGAAATCTTCACTCCCGCCCCGCCGATTTTTTCTTCGTCCGACGGAGTCGGAGTCCCCGGTCGTCCGCCGGTCGTTCCACTCCGTCTCGCATTCGAACAGAAAACCGAAGGAACAGCGGTTCGAGCCAGCCAGTTCTCGAGGCGCCTGGCCGGGATCGAACGCGAACGGGCGACGTCTCCACGGGACCGTCTTCCCGTTTCCTGCATCGAAATAACCAGAAAACGAATGAGCCCCGAAAAACGGTCCGAAACTCGAGCCGATCATTTAACAGACTGTTAGATGCCGCCTTCTCCGACGGTTATGTGATTTTGCACTCTACAAACATAAAACGAGAGGATGTTTTCCATCCTGAAAGTGGATTTTCATTAGTGCTCGTATCATTAAGCCGTCGCGGTCTTCACTGAAGCATCTTCAGGAAAAGATGGAACCCCCCTCCCCCCCCCCTCCACTTTTAGAGAAAACCAAGTCGGTGAAAACTCGCCAGGTGTCTGCGAACATCCCGACGGCGAGCGCAGACGTCGACTCGGCGAACCTTTTTTCGCATCCTCGGTCGAATCCGGTCTGTGGTTTCGGCCTCGGGCTGTAGCGCGACCGCGAAAGGAATTCGTCTTTGAGGTTTCCGTCGAAGAAGCAATACGGCAGTGATAGGGGCCGAGGCATCTTGGTTATACAAAGTATTGCAATGCCACCAACGAATGGATGGAGGGGGGGGGGGGGGGGGGGGGGGGGGGGTCTAAGAAACAGCTGAAACATGGCGATATGGGCCAACCCGGCAAAAAAGGGGGGAATCCTTCGACGTCTCTTCTCTCTCATCATCCTTCGGTCATTGTAGATCGACTTTCGTATCCGAAAGAACCATTTCGAATGACTCTTTTTGGACAAGAAGGATTTTAGGAGTGAGTGAGTGAGTGAGAGACAGAAAAACCGTTTTCTGTCTTAGCCTGACATGGATATGACCTCGCATGGAGAGGATTCTAACGTAGAAATAAATCGATTTGGAATAGGGATGTTGAAAAAGCCGAGACCGTTGCATCATAAAATCCTTGGGTGAGATGAGCAATGAGCCGAATCGTCATTTGCTCGATCGGAATGGCGCTACTGCTCGCGCCTGCTGATTCCTGGCGTTTTTCGCGCAGCGATCGCGACAACCGTATTCATTTTTGCGTACATTGACTTCATGCCGATGAGTAAATTCTACTATGATAGTTACATTAGCGTACCCAAACATTACTACGTTTCACGGATTTAATTTTCGTGACAACCTAAAAGGGATTCTTGCCGTTTTGAGAATCGTCTGTCTTTACGCCTTGCACGTTGTCACTTCCGATCGAGACCAGTTCCTTCTCTTTTCCTTCCATGCTTTCGCATTTGCATCATCACCACATAAACTCATTCTTTCCGTTTTCCCATCTGTTTTCGATTCCGACTTTCATCCACCCCACACCACACCACACTCCCAACCAAGAGACTGGAAAAATGAACGTGAGTCCATTCAAAGAATTCAGCGCTGACGGTCGTCAATTTCGCGTTGCAATAATGTATCCTGCGTACGCGAAAGTACTAAGTCTATTATGAGTCATCCCTTTTACTCGAATAAAAAACCCAACCTCGGACGACCCGCCGATTTCACGACGCATTCGCCGCGCGTAGGATCGGGCGGGCCGAGCCGCGGGGAGTTCGGCAACAAACTAAATGTGTCGTATGTCTCCACGCCCTTCTATGCGTGAGCCACTATCGCCAGGCCGACGACTAGCTCGACGGAACCAGAAGCATAAAAATGAACGAACGATTTAAAGTTTTTTTTTTATATATAAAATGGAAACCAGAAAGAGATTTGGATCTCCATTCACATATAGAAACGGAAAGGGCCCGCTGCTTCTCACCCGTCTGTAATGAACGTACTTTCACCGCACGAAACGAATGCATGGTGTAACCTGCAGACACTCGTTCATTTCTACATCGTGTTCAGTCGTAGTACAGCCGAGACGAAGTAAAGACTGCATTTCAACAGCAGTCGTTACATTGTCACATTCGCGTCATAACTCCAGCCGACTGAAACTGACCTCCCCCCCTCCCCTCGAAGAACTACAGCCTGACTACATAATTCCAAAGCTCCGTCGCAAAACTCAGTCGCACTCCCTAAGTGGACGATCCCGGAACTAAGATTTGACCGAAACCGAGTCGTCAACTGAGCCTCAACTTTGCCAGATGGGATAAGAAATGCTGTTGCAGGCGAACCAAATAGGTCCGTGTGTCCCCATTCTGTAGGGCCACAAGATCTATTCCAGCCCCTGGCGATATTCTTCTCGTCTCGCGACCTACATTAATAAACAGTCTCATATAACGTTTGGATATGATGCTTTTGACTGCCGACGGAGCGTCGGATGAGCAAAACTTCGATCGCAGCTTCATGGTCAGTTTCTGTTCTCCAATCCCTCGAGATGAATCACTCGTTTTCGTGCTGACGTTTCGGGAAACGAGGGCCGGTTCTCGTTTCCGGCCATCTCATCGGTGTCAGTGGAAAACTTTTCATTGGGACGCAAACGAGCGGAAAGACTCAATATTCCATGAATCGTGTCGTGCGAGTACGGAGCTAATAGAATCAGCATAATAAAGACAGACAAAAAGTCATAGAATGCGTTGAAGGAACTCGCCGTCGGTGAATGAAACTGGAATGGATTCGCTTTTAAGCATCATTAGGATGGATATCACGATGCTTACTGTTGGGGTTAACGACATGGGCCATACTCGAACTGGCAGCACCGGCAAACATCGACGTTCGCAACTTTCCCTTCAAAAATGGACCTGAATTCAGAATGAAAGCACCTTCAACGCCCAACGATTTTGGGAAACGTGGAGGAAACTTAAGAGTTCCGAAATCCACCGATAAAAAAAACAAGAGCATTTTTTTGTGCAAGCGAACGGGGCGAGCAAAACCATGCACGAAGTAGCACTCAGTTATGTAACGAATATGCGCTAATTAGCAATATTGTACAATACTAAAGAAATCGAGAGTACCTGCCCGGAGGACAATAAAGGCCGTAGGGATGATTGGCTTTCACGAGCCTGTTGTATCGTGCTCCTTCCTCCAAACGACATGAATGTGAAGGAAGACGCAAAAAGACGTAAGGGACCATCGGAAGAGAACGACGGGGAAGACAAAGCGGCCTCCAGTGCAAGGAAACCACGAATATTTACTGGCAGGAGAACGAAGGCGAAAGACCGAGGCGTGAAGGCGGTCCAGGCTCCAGAGGAAAAGAGATGGAAGAGATGGAAGAGGGAAAGGGGAGCGTGCTCCAAAATGACCTTCAACGAGTCTTTCTCCGATTCCGGGCCGAGGATCGGGAAGGGAAATCCAGTCATTCGTAATGCCAGCGAGGTTTCACCGGCCCCAGTCGATTCTATTCCACGCAAAACGGTGAAAATTAGAGAACCCAGGATCGAAAGGGAAGTCGACCGAGTGAAAATTAGCAAGAACCACGAGTCCTCCTTGGCTTCTATTATCAGAAAGGGTGAAGCGAGGAAGACGCCATCTTCGCATAGTCGGGACAGCAATGCTAGGACTCGCAAATTACCCCAGAAAGACGCCCAAACCCGGAAGACACTGTCTAGTGAAGTCCCCCTCAAGAGCATCTTGAAGAAAAATGGCAAGTCAAAAGTGAACAAATCGAATGTGACCGCAACTCGCAGAACCAGCTCTCTCGATCTCAAAATTCAAGATTTGCCTATTCCCCGTAATGACTTTTCCCCATCAATCGATCGTGGAGTCGCGCGCAGACGAAAACTTTAACTGTTTAGCAGGAATGGAGAAAAAGCTGTCCTACAGGCACATCTACGACCCTCCAGTACCTTTCGGTTCCCCAGGGCAAACAACGTTCCTAGACGATGTGACTCTGGAGGTGTCAGTTTACCCAGGAAGGATCACTTCCCGTGGAAGGGGACTTGATCGTCTTCCCGTTTTTCAGTAATTATCATTCGATCCCCTCTAGTGTACAATGAATGCCATGAGATCCACCATATCTTGTGCAATCGCAGCTACAGGCTGGAGATGATCCATGGATCTTTCCGCTGGTGGGTAAGGAGGAACTATCTGCAACTTCTCCAATTCCACCGCAAAATTCGTGAAACTGCGTCAGTTCAAACATTTTTACATGCCTGCTGTATGTCGCCTGAACGTCTTTGCTAAACAAATATTTTATTCAGCTCTGGTACCTCAGAATTAGCGGCAATGTTGCCTCAACTGCCCAAGGGGAGCCAACTTGGAACGGGAACGCAAGGTTGCGAAGCGGTCGGGAATTACTTGAACAGAGTTCTAGCCGTGAAACGATTCCGCTCCAACAAACACACGGTAACGCCACCATCGCTATCATTTATTCCCGATGGCTGATCGAACCGTGGGAAATTGCAGCTGGAGTTCCTGGCTGTGAGTCCGCTTTCCTTCGTGAAGGAGCTGGGAGGGAAAGGGAAAGAGGGGATCGTCCACAAGAGATTCGGAGAAGTTAGGGGAAGACCCGGGTTTCGACGAGCGTACGTTCAAAAATTTTCCTCCTCCAGCTGGCCATCTAGCTTAAAGAGGTTATGTACTACGTACTCCCTCCCTGAATGCTTTCAAATAAGTTATCATACAAAACACGTTAGGCTGCTAGTGTACCTCGGGTATGGGAACTGCACACCATTGAATATGGTCCTAGCCACACCGCTTTAATCCGGAGATCGAGTGCTACAAGTTCAGTTCTTTTTCATCTGATAGAGCCTCATTTCAAAGAAATCTCACCCTCACAGGTACGTCGTTTTTTAAATTTATTCCATGACTCAAATAGTCAAATGTAAAAATAGCAGGGAGAAGGCGAAAAGCGAAACATTCAAGAAAACAGAATTCATGTTGATGCAATATTTGCACATTCACAAGCCATTCAAAATCTCCATGAAGACAATTCAAAAGTGACATGAATACTTAAACAAGCCATCGTGGATGAATAAATTAAACATGAAAATACAAATGGACAAGACTCAGTTTGGACAAGCAGAAAATTATTAACGAATACTTTGGAGGGGTCTCATGCGATTGCAAATTGTAGCTACAATTACCTTTTGTTTTGACCTAAGAAGGCACCTCGCTATCACCCACTAGAAGGACCAATAACAAAACTTTCACTTGACACGTTCCACGCATTCACATTGACAAGTCATTCAATAACACGAGTTACGCAATTTGAAGTGGCTCCTCCCCGTTCTCATGGTTGAATAACCCCACCACCAAATTATTCAAGTCCTTAATGCACTTGTACCTGGACAAGATCCCCCCCTCCATCTGTTTAGAGATGGCTAGTTAACCGTCCCAACATTGGTCGTATCAGAGTCCTCTCCGAGGCCACTTACTAACTTACTTACAAAAGTACTGGACTCGTGGGGTCTCACACTCATGGGGTCTTAGTTATGTAGATTTCAACACCCCTTCTTGGCAATTTAAAGCCGGATTTCAGTCCCTCGCCTCTCCCATCAAAATCCAATAAACGAAGCTATTCAGATAAGACTTTACATGAATCTAAATTCTCTATCTCCACCAACGATTCCCTATACGCAATACTCTCTCCAACAAGCCAGTTACGAGGTGGCATTAAAAAGTCCAAGAAAAATTGTTCAAATTGAAAAAAACCATC